AATGAATAAGCAAGAGGAATGCATTGCCGTAACAAGAGAATTTGCGCCTCCTGGATTTATGCGGTTTTGACCTACACCCCGCACATAAACCTCTCCGGGGCACAACTCATCATTCACTAACTGCCTGCGGTGGTGATGGTTGATTTCAACATTATAAGGTAATCTTTCATATGCTTCTAAGTCAACACTTGTTCAACTTCATGAGCTTTTCTTCCAAGCAATGAAAAGTTTTGGGAGGGTACACTTAACTGTTTCTCACATTCCAAGCCCGGACGAAGGCGAACAAGTCGAAGCATAGCCTATAAACCGTTCAAACTTAGATTACTTGCTAAGTAGAGCAATTGGCCTTGGCAGCTAGTGCGGCGCGGCACGGCCGACTTTCTGTGAGCCGGGCGTATGTTGTCCTATATGAACTGCCTCCTACGCGCCGCAATTGCGCCGCCATATTGTCATGTCCTCCTTGAAACGAGAGTTGAACACATAAGTTTCCAGGCATAAAAGTGTTCCGCTTCGACGCACCTCTTTATTTCGCCAATGCAGAACTATTCATTTCTAGGGTAAATAATGCCTGCGGATTAAACCCAGTGCTTGGTAAGGGCTCTGTCTCGATTTACTGAGGTCATACCATCATTTTTCTTTAGTAAAAGCAAAAGTAATTGAACGTTCTGCATTTGAACGCAAAGTAAATATGGACGAAAATTCAAGTGCTGCTTCAAGAGCTGCTCCAAGTGAAATGCGTACGTCTCCTTCTTTATTTGAGAGTGTAACTGCACATATATCAAGTGAAGAAAACGAACGGGGCAATGCCCACTGTACGCGTTCGGAACACTCAAATGTTGCGTTCCCCAAACTTTGTGTGTGGTCTGCAATTACACCATCTGGCTCTTTGCGAGAGAATGAGATGTTCCAGAGTTGCGCGTGATAGGACGTCGTCTATCCGATGCATCCGGGGACGTTGTCGAAGATGCAGTGGAGCATGTGGTCACTCAGCTTACGCATATAATCATAGGTAAATATCCTTCATCAGAAGCAGGCATAAAATTATAGTCAAATTTCCAGATTGTTCAAGCATTCCTTATATAGACTTGATGGGAAAAGATGCTATAGCTCAGATAGTTGCTGATTATGCTGCAATCGATATTACTGTTTTAATTGCAAATGCTAAAGGTGAATCAAATAACTAATAATAGGTGGAAGAAGTGTCAAACTCATGTCGCGTGCGAATTGCGACGAGACCGAAATTTTGCAGAAAATGGCGTGAATACTGACGCTACCTCTCCATTTTTATTTGTGCTAAAACCATCTAAAGCAATTTTTATTTCAGTAGCTGTGCGCCAACTATTTGAAACAAGTGATTTTTATCAAAAAGTTGCTAAAAATAAAATGTTTGTAAGCTTAAACGATGCGGTATCACAAGCGCTGAAAGAGCAAAGAGAACGCTTCCCTGATCGTCCACCAATGGTAGAAAATTTTATAGTGATGATAATATTAAGAGATCATTTCACTATTTAAATCCTATTATCTAGATTGTACCATCCGAGATACAACGCAAACCATTGTCAATAAAAGAACCTGTAGCTCTATCTCCAGCTCAAAAGACTATTATCAGCAACGTATATGATG